TTTTTCCTCTTGCGTTCTTTCTCCAACAACCCTAGCGTAAATTTCCAATTATCTAAACTGAACCAATTCAGTTTAGACCCCAATTTAATTGCTAAAAACGAATTTAATTAATTGGGTGGTGAAAAGACCATAATGTCCTTCTAAAATCCGGAATGGACTTTCCTTATTTGAATAACACAACTTCCAATGGGCATAACTCACTCATATGAACTCGGAATCGCGCAAACTCGGTGGTGTTGGAAAGATTATTCCAAGATCTTTCCTACGATATCTGGAAACACACCTAACTCATCTTGAGCTAGGAGTTATGGTTGTTTGAAGTTGACCAAAAAAACTCAAACTTAACCAATCTTCCAGATTTTTTTATTATTTCCGAAAATCACTCTTTCTAATTCTAGCTCTTTCAATTTGAGAGATGCTACATAAGAGCAAAATAAATTATTTTTTTTAAAAAAAGAATTTTTTAAAATTTTAATTAATTTCTTTTTTTTTGAATGGGAGGGTCGACAAGGTGTCGTAAGATAAAAATTTGTAATTTGAGGTTGGAGGAGAGTTTTGGAAAATGTTTTTCTTCATTTTTAAAGGGAAGCTATTTTCCTTAAATTTGAAAAACTAAATTGATTTGATATGCTTAGAAACAACAATACCATATAGTATTAAAAGTTGTTATATGTTGAAATACACGCAAGCTGATTAGAAACAAACCATGGTTATCTAAAAACAAAAGAAAAATCTGCCACACACGAAGGGATTATTCTTTACATCCCTTTTTCTCTTCTAATGTGAAAATGTTAAGAAAAATCCTCTTTAATCAGTAAGACAAATTCATCAATGATAAAGTTGTAGAGAGACTTTTTGACTTAGTTAATATATAAACACTAAACAGGGACACTAGACAATAATTAATATATAAATAGGGACAATTGATAAAGTTGTAGAAAAGACTTGTTGACTTAATTAATATATACAATTTATATAGAAGAGTTTAGGAAGCAGGTCTTCGTTAATATGTCTGGTTCTTTGATAAGAATAATTTGGTTATTTAAGGAAGCAGTTAGAAGTTTTACTTCAAGCCGAGGGTATTTATGAATTTTTTCATTTTAATTTATTTGTCTTACTTTTCTTTTTTAGTCAGTTATATATTTAAAAATTACCTAAATATATTATAAATTATAATAATTAACAACTTAAAATATTAAAAAGACAGATAAAAATTCAGGTGACTCTCGAAGTTACGTTGGTGCCACATAACAGATAACTTGAAGTTGAATTCTGAAATATTTTTGAGATTTGGAAAGCCTATCTTCAATAAGTTGTTTTCCCAAAATTTCACTCCAAATCACTCACAAAAATTCAAAAACAATTCCAATTTTTGTTCATCTCCAAACACAACTTCAATTTTCATTTAAAAAACTAATAATATTTTTTTTCCTTTTCAGCAACTTCTACATTTTATTTTTCACATGACATATTTAAGATTATAAGATTGTCGACTACAGTTCTTTATAGTTATTTTCTTCTCTCTTTTTTTTTTCAATTTATGTGACTCTTGTCTTTAAATCACCTGCATATCTTTAGTTTAAGATGACAAAATTCAAAAATCTTTTTTATTTTCTTAAACTTCATGTCAAATCAATAAATTAGACAAATAAATGAAAATAAAAGAAACTAAAGATAACAATTCAATTTTATTTTTATAAAGACTTAAAATCCGTGAATATTGGGACGAAGGGAGTACTATATATACATATTGCCTGACCTAGCGAAAAATATACGCAACTAGCTAGCTATTTGACACACATACTTTTCTTTCCTAGTCTGAAAAATTGAACACTATGAAAGTACGCGTTAGCAATGATAATATGGGTTCTTCTCTTGTTTACTATTGGAATATTTTTTTTATCTTGATAGGAATAGATTGTTTATATCATATGAAAAGATTATATTATTGAAAAATGATTCCTTTTTTTTTGTTGATTGATTAATCTTTATAAAATTAAGTGTATTTGAAAGTTTTTAATCGCAAATATTTACTTACAAAAAGAACATGTAGATATGTATTAAGGGGTGCCTTAGAATATTCTGATATCTTATTTTTGAACTATGATTTGCTCATTTGGTAAAATAATATTAGAATTGAATTTATTTTTTTGATAGTTTTCATAACTGGTGAGATTTTCATGTTTTTGACTAAAAAATACAACTTTAGAAATCTGAATTACATATCCAAATTTCAACTTCAAATCAATCGGATTTCAAATCAAATTCAAATGGGACCTTAATAGTGTTGTGGAATATGGAGAAGACTTGTTGGAGTCTTCTTGACTTGATTAATACATACAATTTAAGAGGAAAAGAAAAAAATCTCTTTAAAATCAACAAGTGTTCGAGTCAAATAGCCACTAATGAAGCATTCAAACAAGTGATTATTAATTAGTTGATAGTATAATTATTTAAAAATCAATAAATTTGTCTAATTAACCTTGTTTATGAAAGAGATAAATTGTAAAAAAATATATTTTATTTATAAATACATATTGCTTCGCCTAGCGAAAGATATAAGCAAACAACTACTTGACACAAATACTTTTCATTTCCTAGTCTAAAACTTAGGGTGTGTTTGGTACAAAGGAAAATGCTTTTCTGGAAAATAAGTAGATTTCTGACTTATTTTTTCATATTTGGTTGGTGAATTGAAAATATTTTTCGCAAAAATATATTTTAGTGTTTGGTTTGGGAATGAAAAACATTTTAAAGAAAATATCTTTTATTTTTTATTAGAGAGTAGAAAATAATTTTTGACCTGGAAACCAACTCGATAATCGATCTAGGACATGACCTCGACATGCGAACTAAGACACAACCCTAACGACATATCTGAAATCCGACCTACGACCTGACCCCGACTTTCGACCTGAGACCCAACATTCGAATTGGGACCGGAGATCTGATCAAGGACTTTACCCCAACACCCGAACATTCCTTCATACCAAACAATAACATACCCTTAATGAAATTTAAGATGCGAAAGCGTATATAAAAATAAATAAAGATAGGTGCACAAAGTTTAAAAGTATCATTACACATCTACCTAGCTAGAAAGTAGTTAAAGACAACTAAATTTACAGTCTTGTCTTTCAATCAGAAAAGTTTCAGTAATTGTTATTCCAGACTTGTAACATATGATATGCTTGTAAACAACAATACCGTATAGTATTAAGAGTTGTTATAAGTTGAAATACACGCAAGCTGATGAGAACAAACCATGGCAATCTAAAAACAAAAGAAAAACCTGCCACACACGAAGGGATTATTCTTTACATCCCTTTTTCTCTTCTAATGTGAAAATGTTAAGGAAAATCCTCTTTAATCAGTAAGACAAATTCATCAATGATAAAGTTGTAGAGAGACTTTTTGACTTAGTTAATATATAAACACTAAACAGGACACTTGACAATAATTAATATATAAATAGGGACAATTGATAAAGTTGTAGAGAAGACTTGTTGACCTAATTAATATATACAATTTATATAGAAGAGTTTAAGAAGCAGGTCTTCGCAATATGTCTGATTCTTTGTTAAGGATAATTTGGTTATTTAAGGAAGCAGTTAGAAGTAGGCATCTCTTCGTCGACGTGTTTACTTCAAGTTGAGGGTATTTATGGAGTTTTTATGTTTTTTTTATTTTAATTTATTTGTCTTACTTTTCTTTTTTAGTCAGTTATATATTTAAAAATAACCTAAATATATTATAAATTACAATAATTAACAACTTAAAATATTAAAAAGACATAAAAATTTAGGTGACTCTAGAAATTATGTTGGTGCCACATAAAAGGTAACTTTAAGTTGAATTCTGAATATTTTTGAGATTTGAAAAGCCTATCTTCAATAAGTTGTTTTCCCAAATTTCACTCCAAATCACTCACAAAAATTCAAAAACAACTCCAATTTTTGTTCATCTCCAAATACAACTTCAATTTTCATTTTAAAAAATAATACTACAATATTATTTTTTTTCGACAACTTCTAAATTTTATTTTTCACATGACATACTTATAATAAATTATAAGATTGTCGCAAAAAGTTTCTTATAGTTATTTTCTTCTCTTTTTTTTTTTCAATTTGTGTGACACTCTCGTCTTTAAATCACCTACATATCTTTAGTTTAAGATGACAAAATTAAAAAATCTTCTTTATTTTCTTAAACTTCATGTCAAATCAATAAATCAGACAAATAAATTAAAATTAAAAAAATATATTTTATAACAATTCAATTTTATTTTTATAAAGACTTAAAATCCGTGAATATTGAGACGGAGTGAGTAGTATATATACATATTGCCTTACCTAGCGAAAAATATACTCAACTAGCTAGCTATTTGACGCACATCCTTTTCTTTCCTAGTCTGATAAATTGCACACTATGAAAGTAGTGTTAGCAATGACACTATGGGTTCTTCTCTTGTTTACTATTTTGACAAACACCAAGTTTGGAAAAAAATTATGCTCGACATGAATAAATTGCTTATATCATATGGAAAGATTATATCAAAGAAAAGTTATTTCTTTTTTTTGTTGATTGATAAATCTTTATAAAATTAAGTGTATTTGAAAGTTTTTAATCACAAATATTTACTTATAAAAGGAACATGAAGATATGTAGTAAGGGTGCCTTAGAATATTCTATATCTTATTTTTGAACTATGATTTGCTCATTTGGTAAAATAATATGCGAATTGGATTTTTTTTTTTTTTTTTTTTTTATAGTTTTCACAACTTGTAGAATTTTTATGTTTTTGACTAAAAAATACAACTTCATCAACGTGAAAAATTGATAAAGTTGTAGAGAAGACTTGTTGACTTAATTAATATAAACAATTTCAAAGAAAAAAAAATCTAGATGCATCTTCTTGATAACTATAAATACATATTGCTTAGCCTAGTGAAAAATATAAGCAAATACTTTTCACTTGCTAGTCTAAAACATTACACACCATGAAAGTGTTAACAATAACACTATGGGTTCTCTTGTTTTTTATTTTGACAAATACCAAGTTTGTTGTTTGTGTAGGGATTTGCAGAGAAAATGAGCAACGAGCGTTGGAGATCTTGAAGAAAGAAGTATATGATCCCTCGAATATTCTCTCTTCTTGGGTTGTCGGAAAAGATTGTTGTGAATGGGAAGGGGTGGTGTGCAACAATCTCACTCGTCATGTGATTGAGCTAAGCATTTATGTTGATATGTTTGATTCGAGATATCTAAGGATCAATAACCTAGAGTGGTTAACAAGTCTTTCGAGTCTTGAGAACCTGGAGATAGAAAGTGTTGATCTTAGCAAAGCTAATGAATGGCTACAGGTTATTAACATGCTTCCTTCTCTTGTTTATCTTCATTTATACAATTGTAGTCTTCATCATATAACACCTCTACTTGATCATAAAAAAATTTCTTCACTCAAATCTCTCGATCTTTCTGGGAATTACAACTTAAATTCTTCTGTTCCGAAATGGGTTTTCAACCTCCCCAATCTTGTTTCTCTTGACCTGAGTGGCTGTAATTTTACTGGCCCGTTTCCTGATGGTCCAGTTAACTTGACTTCTTTCACAACCTTCGAGGCTTCTGGAAATCGTTTCAACTGTCGTTTACCTAAATGGTTGTTTGATTTGAATAATCTTGAACATGTTGTGCTCTATGGTAGTGGCATTGAAGGTGCGATACAGAGTAAGAGCGGAAACATAACAAAACTTAAATATCTTGATCTTTCTTTCAATAACCTCAACTCCACTATACCAAATTGGCTCTATGGATGCAAAGATCTAGAATCACTTTTCCTTGGTGGAAATCATCTTGAGGGAACAGTTTCAAGTCTGATTTCAAATTTGAGCTCAATAACTATTATTGACCTTTCTGGTAATATGCTTTCTGGAAAGTTACCGAATGTAATTGGAAAGTTAGGGAAATTAGAACAACTTGATCTCACAGGAAATCAATTTGAGGGAGATATATCTGAATTATTCAATGTTAAGAGTAATTTCCTTTCAGTGGGATTGGGAAATACTTCTTTAACATTTTTGAGACTAGATGATAATAAACTCACAGGAGCTCTTCCGGAAAGTGTTGGCCAACTTTCAATGCTAGAAGTCTTTTCCATCTCTAACAATAGGTTGGAAGGTGTTGTAACAGAAAGTCATTTCTCTAAATTAACACATTTACAAACCTTCTATGCATCTAGAAATAATCTGACTTTAAAAGTGAGTCGGAATTGGATTCCACCTTTTCAAGTCATAGATATTGAAATAGGCGGCTGGAATATAGGCCCGTTGTTTCCAATGTGGCTCCGAACTCAAAAGCAGATAGCAAATGTTGACATATCAGATGGTGGAATACAAGGTGAGGTTCCAACTTGGTTTTGGAAATTGTCTTCTCAAATTGAATTTCTCAATATTTCTCACAACCAATTTGTTGGTGAGGTTCCAATCATCTCGACACCTTCGTGGACGGATGGACATGGAGGTCCTTGGACAATGTGCTTTGGTTCCAACAATTTTAGTGGACCATTGCCCTTGATTTCAACCATTGTAACTGAGCTAGATCTCTCAAACAATTCTTTTTCCAAAGGTTTATCGAATTTTTTGTGTGAAGCAAAGAATGGATCTTACAAATTGGAGATCTTAAATCTCGGGGGAAATGATTTATCAGAAGAAATTCCTGATTGTTGGATGAATTGGCCAGAGTTGAAAGTTTTAATCTTGAGGGACAATAATTTGATTGGAAGCTTACCAAGATCTATCGAGGTTTTGAGTAATTTGTTATGCTTAGACTTCCGAAGAAATAGACTTAACGGTCCGTTTCCTTCATCCTTGGAAAACTGCTCAAAACTGCATAAAATAGATTTAGCTGAGAATGAGTTTTTTGGAAAATTACCATCTTGGTTGGGAATGAGGTTTACAACCTTGATAGTTCTTATCCTTCGGTCCAATAAATTCGATGGTGAATTGCCTAAAGAACTATGTCACCTCAAAGATCTTCAGATCTTAGACCTTGCAAACAATACATTTGTTGGAATCATACCAAGGTGTATTGGCAATTTCAGTGCAATGATCAAAGGAAAAAAGAAAGTACTGGAAGATGATTTTGAGTTAAATTATTCCTTTTATTATGGAACTTTGATAGAGAGTGCAATGGTGACAACTAAAGGCAATATGTACCAGTATGACACAATTTTGGCGTTGTTTACAAGTATGGATATGTCTAGCAATAATCTTTCTGGAGATATTCCTATAAGTCTAACACGTCTTGCAGGATTAAGATCATTTAATCTTTCCAAAAATAACCTAACTGGAAGGATTCCAAATGACATTGGTGACATGAAAGTCTTGGAATCTGTTGATCTTTCAGAAAACCAACTTTACGGTCAAATCCCACAAAGTTTTTCGAGTTTGTCTACTTTGAGCTACTTGAATCTATCTGATAACAATTTGTCAGGTATGATACCATTGAGTACTCAACTTCAAAGCTTTGATCCCACGAGTTTTCAAGGAAACAAGCTCTGTGGGCTCCCGCTCTTGGTGAACTGCAGTTCAGATGGCAATATTCCAAATCACAAGTATGAAGATGATGAGAGTGACAAAGATGAAGTGGATTGGTTTTACATTTCAATGGCTATTGGATTCGCACTAAGCTTTTGGGGTGTTTGTGGTTCATTGCTTTTCAAGAGATCATGGAGACATGCTTATTTTCGTTTTCTAGACCGTAGCTGGGAAATGTTGCTTGCAAAGTTACCAGTATGTTGAGAGATATGATTAAGGATATTGTTATCATCAAAAGTTTGTTTGTGTGCTTACATTTCTAGTGTTAGCAATCATGTTGTTTCATTTTGTGTTTAAATATGTAGACTTTTATGTCTTAATAACTTCCTCAAATGAATGTTTCTTAAGATGTTCAAACAATGTTGTATTTTCTTTCATAGTTTCAATTTTCTTCTTTCAATCACAGAGTTGTGAGACATTGCTTTTAGTAATATATTAATATATTCTGCTCAGTATTATCCAGAAAATCAAACTTCAATTGTTGGTATGATTAAAAATACGAATCTAAACAAAAAAACTGTAAATTAAATAAAGTGGATACGAGTGTTAAATGTTCTTATTATCAATTTTTAAAAAATAAGGGAGACTGACGATCCACGTATATGATCTCATTTACTAGAATAGTCCTTCTCACTCAATATTCAACCTAAGTTATAATTGATTCCTATGAATTGAATCGTTACTTATTATGCCTTAGAAAAATGAGATTTTTCTTCGAATAATCTACTCATTTATTATCATGATATATGCGTGGTCGTTGTGAACTTTTTGTGATGAATACGTGCTTCAATGTTGTGAATCTTGACTTGGTGGTTATCTAACATTGTCTTAGAGTTGATTATTATGTTAACTATATTGTTGTTGGATTTAGTTGTTAGTCCGAGTCTAATCGATCTATTTTGATATTTGATCGAGCACAAGTTTGAGAAAATGTAGGATTGACTATCGCCTCATGTTAGCGTTAGTTGACGGTACTTCTGAGATTCAAAGGTAGTTGTTTGGCTGATTCGCAGTTCCTTGGATCTCTCGTATCCTTTTTTTTTTCCATGTCTTTCGCATTTTTGGATAGTTTAGTAGTTATGATCATATTTTGACGAAGATACACCTAGATACACATATATTGCTAAGCGAGATGGGCTGGGAGGCGAGAGAGATAATCATGTATCTCAGATTCATGTGAATCACACTAGATATATGCATCTGTATGTATCTGGTGTGATTAGTATGAGTCTGGAATACCAAATACATAGAAGAGTCGTGAGCGAGATAGAAGGGAGGCAAGCGAGATTTGTTTATGTGTCCCAAATATATGTGAATCTACTTGGATACAGTGTATCTAGAAAAAATTACACCTTATTTTTACCTAAAAAAATATGTATCTAGACATATCTGGATGCACCATAACCCATCGGTGTCCCCCTAAACTTGGCACAATCTTTCACTTAGACACCTCAACTGAAGGATTTTCAATTTTAAAACACTTCATGTCGCGTCTCGTTGTGTCATTTTGACACTTTTTTGACTAAGCATAGTACGTGTGGTACACGAATTTTGAGCGCGTCAGAGACTTTTTTTGTAAATATTCTGAATTTTTTTTGTAAATATTTTCTTCTCCTTCTTCTTCCTTGCTTTCTCCCTTCCATCTTCTCCACCTTCTACCATCCTCCATCACCACACAACTTTTAAAAAAAATTCTACAATATTTTACTAGGTTACACTCTTTGATTCTTCCATCTTCTTTGAAAATCGAATTTGCATCTTGATTCATATTCAAAAACAAAATCGATTTCAAGGGAACAAATGAACTGATGTATATAAAATACAATACTTTCTATGTATGAAAATACAATAACTGCTGTGGGAGTTTCTCTAACCGACAACCATCACATAAGAGCTATAGTGATAATACAGCGATCGACCTCACGCTGCCAGGGCATCCTATTCCCGGCCAAAGGTATAGGACCTGAACTGCCTAATGGATCCACTAGTCTA